AAATTAATGTGAGATTCGTAATCAGCGCCAAAAACTGCATCTAGTGATATGCTCCTTTCAGTTCTATTCTAAAATAATTTTTTCAAAAACTTGATCAGCGAAGTCCCGAGTTACGTGGACAGGCCGTGGAGTGGAAGTTCCGCTGCATATATTGGCCACGAGAGGTGTGCAGGATCACCCTACCCTACCCTGTCCTATTAGGGTAGGGTAGGGCAGGGTGCAGACTTTATAGGGTAGGTTAAGGGTACGAAACATTTTTATAGGGTAGGGCACAGGTTGAGACGTTTGTCGTACACTGTACCCTATTAGATAAAGAACACTTAGTATTGAGAGACATTCGCTCCTTAAGTGGTGCATGACTTCGTTATCCATCAGAGAAGATCTATGCCTGTTGTTATTGGATGTGGAGTTTTTGAATAAAACTGTAGCTAGAAAAACGAACTTCGATCGCTGAACGAATGTTCCCTATTTTACTCCTACTTTCTCATGTGTACTCTCAAAAAAAAAAGGTACTCTACCGAACTTAGAAAAGGTTTAAACATTTGTCACCATCTATATACCTTTTTAAGGTTTCGTACAAACTATATATCTCGCCAGCACCCTAAATCCGTGACTGAGAAAAGCTTAGTTTGACTGAGGGAACACTGCCCATGCAAGTTTTTCCCAGTGACGGATTTAGGGTGCTGTACGAAACTTTAAAGAGGTATACAGATGGTGACAAAAGTTTAAACCTTTTTTAGGTTCGGCAGAGTATCTCTTTTTTTTAGAGTAGGTGTAGGTAGGGAGTAGGGAGTAGGGTGTAGGGTGCAAACTGTCTAAAGTCAACAGAGTGTGGTGGGGCAGGTGTGAAAGCTAATAGGGTACTATAGGGTAGGGTATGAGAAATTTCTATAGGGTACAGGGTACAAAAAACTCGTACCCTGCACACCTCTACTGGCCACCTCTTGAACTATGGGCGGCATTTTCACAAGACGGCAAGTTTTTGGCTTCGCATTTTAACCATAGTCAACAATAATCGAAATGCCCTCAGTTTGTTTTGGAATAACTTGAGAAGAAAAAACAGCTAGAAAGTTCGAGTTTTCAGCATTTTCTAGTCACCCATCTTTTTATAAAAAGTACGTTTAAGAATCTTTCATATACTGAGTTAATCAAATTTATATGATAGAATTGCACTGCCATTGTGCTGTTTGTTGGAAAAATGTCTGTTAGAATGAACGTGTTAGTGGCTGAGAAAGAAAAACGCGTAGCGGTTGTTCATTCGAGTCTTTACCGTAAAAATGAACGTATTTTTTCAAGTTCTCCATTTATTCGTTCTTTGATAGTCAAATCTGGCATTTTTTCTGCTACTTTCAATGAACTCTGATAATTTTCAATTGCTCTATCAAAACTCTTTAGGTTCTTCTCCTTGTTATTCGTGTTAGAATTTCCTTTTTTCTCCCAATATTTGGCAGCTTTTTCATAACAATCAATAATCGATTGTAAATGTTGTATAAAATGTTGACCATATAATCTTATTTCATCATAGACTTCAATAAAAGTAGATTCTGATGATTTTATAAGATCAATTATGGTTGACGATAATGTTTGTTGTTTTAATTCGAGTATTTCTGTCCAGTAAATAATGGCTGCGTCCATATCATCGATATGAACTAAAACATCACCAATACATTGAAATAACAATGTCTCATGTAAGTTTATATAATTTTCGATAACAATAAAGTTAGATTTTTCTAATTGTGTTTTGTTATATCTAGATATATTCGAATTGATATAGTTTTGTATTTCTTTCACATTTTGACCATCATTTGCATCTGATTTTAGTTCTTCCATAAAATCAATAATCAATGGATAAATTAAAAGGCGATCATAAATTGGTAAATTTATATTAAGGGATATTTTATCAATAATATCGCGTTTATATTCTTCAGTCGAACGTAAATTATCTTTAAACAATTTTAATATTTGATAATAGATGGTTGTCTGGATTATTAGCTGATCATCTGTATTCTGATATTTGATGTAATTTAACGATTGATGAAAATTGTCAAGCGCTAGATCATATTCTCCACAGTTACGATTACATACACCAACTTTCATATGAACCCACAGATAACCTATAAAATACAAAAAAAGCTTTATTTCTTTATGAGAAAAGAATGATTTATCTATAAGGTGCGGGTAATTCAAACTTCAAGCAGATTTTAGATTTTTTTGAAACACACACCGTTCGATAGAGCTTGAATAGCTCTACAAGGATATCGCCTTTAAAAGTTTTTTCGAGCTTTCCTTCCAGGAGAAAACCTTGAAATACTAGTTTGTTATTCGACAATGGAAAAAAGACGCATT